TCTATCTTAGTAATTTTTTGGCAGTTTTCCAGTTTTGAGGTAGCAACTTTGAGGCCTTGGAAAACAACCTTAATGACATCATCTGGATCCACAAAAGCATATCATTGGAAAGATGGAAAATTTATCTACAAAACAAACTCTTAACCTTGAATTTCCACCAATCCAATTGAGAGAACCATGCCCCCAAAGTATGTACCTTGAACACGGATTTTGACTTTGCCAAATTCTGCCTTTCTTCTTTCCAACTTCGATAGCTTCTTTGTCAAGTAATTGTGACGTGAATGGTAGGCAATTTGGGATGATATCAGGCCCTCCCCATTGAAAAAGTGTTGCCCTCAACACTTCAGTCTTTCGTTGCTCAAACCGTTCACAGAATTGATCCCAAATTGGATCGAAAGTGGGTTGCTCGATCGTCTTTTTCGGCGCAAAAATTTCAGCTGCATACTCAACTCCGATCTCGTCCAAGAGCTTGGAAGCTTGCAGAGCTGTTGGAAATTCTTCCTGAACTTGCAAAAAAATTTCCTCATCGTTCAATTTTGCCAGAATTTGATCGGAACAATACCCAGGTCGTTGGATGTCGCTCTCGTACACGTTCTTGCTCAAACAAATTGGGGGTTTCGAATTGAGGCATCCCCAATCCAATTCACCTACTCACACTCTTCACGATGCTTCCAATTGAATTTTTGGACCTGCCCCTAGTCTCGAATCATCATCATTGTCGACGAATCTTCGATTTCTTCCTTCTCGCCATCGGCCACATTTGAATGTTCGGATTTGTGCGTTTTTTATTCAAGCTTTGTCGAGATGAATTGGTCTCTTTGACACGTTCCTAGGACCTCCTTGAATGATTCTCCAGCCCCAATTTGGCTCGAATTGAGCTCAATCGCTCTATCCACTAGAGGGTCGGCGGCGGCCGTGTTCTTCACGAACAGAGGTGATTCTGTCTAATTTGATTCACCAAATTCAAGTACGGCCGTCTCCAATGAAGCATCTTCCAACGTTGATGGGGTCGTGGGTATCGTTTCGGCACCATCGGTGAGTTTCGACTCATCCCGCAGAGTTCCAACACATCTGTGCTCTCTCCTGCTCTATTTTCTTGGAGAATTGGAACGCATTGCTGCTCGCGTCACCAAGTCGATTTGCCCATCGTCGGTCTTATCCCGACCTTCTTCTCTTCTCAGACCCTTCTCCCACCTCCAGAGACGCTTTCAAATCGTCGGAGTGCCTTGGCTGTCCTCCCTCGTCGTCGGCAACAATGACAGAGTTTGAACTCTGTTGTTTTGTCGCAAAACAGAGGTCGGGATAGGGGATGGTGTCCGACTCTGAAACAGCCAGCAAAAGCTTTTTAAAGCCCATGAAATTAAGTCCAATATGTCTCTGTACCCATAATTGAGCTTGAACATTTTTCCCTCGTTTCGATTCTCCTCCATCTGCTTCAAATCATCGTAAACTTCTTCCGAAGAGAGGGGAATCACCACAAACTTCTTACCGTGATGCTTGGCTTTGTATCGATTAGTTCGAACATCATGGGCAACTTTGCGATCGAACTGCCACGGTCTTCCCAGCATCACATGAACACAGCTCATCGGCACCACGTCGCTATTAACCTCGTCTTCGTAACCGCCGATTGAAAACGAACTACGACTTGCTTCGTGACATTAATCGTACCGTCTTCGTTGATCCAGCCGAGTTGGTAAGGCTCAGGGTTCCTTTGAGTCATCAATCCGAGCTTTTCGACAGCGTCACGATTGATGATATTCGCACAGCAACCTCCGTTGATCACGAACAAAATTAATTAGCCTTCCACAAAGCATCGGCTGCGAAATAGATTATCACGCTGTTCATCTGATTCTCGATGCTTGATGGCTGTTGTGGGAATATTCTCACGATCCTCGTCACCTGTGGGACGCGCTGGTGCTGCTTCTGCTTGTGGAGTTTCAAAAACAGGGGCTGCTCGGACAACAGCATAATCTACTTGGCCAACCGCGGTTAGACTCGACTTGCCTGACGTGGCTTTGGCTAGGATGGTCTTCAAGGACTTCCTACACTCTTCCCACTCCATGGATTGGGTCAGGGTCTGCTTGAGCTCCATTACAGCAGTTGAAACTCCGTTGTCGCAACTTTCCTGCGTGTTCTGTCTTGCCCAGCAGTGCAGAGTCAATTTCAGCACCTTCAATCCACTTGAATCTGCCTCTTTTTCTAGAAAATATCGCCACTGAGTTTGAACCAGGCTCTGATACCACTTAATACGACCATGGGGGTGTATTTTTATAAAATTCACGCAACAAACAATCAATCTGAAGATTGATTGAACTCGAATCAAGAACAACGCATTCTTAATATGAAATTTGGATAAAACGGAACCAACGGACAATTCCACACCTGGGGAAAGCTTGTATGGTATAAAAGGGTAGTTGCTCGACCTCGATTGAAGGGAATATTCAATCGATACAAAGATCAGCAAGTTTGGAATCCACCAAACCCATAACAAGTTCGCAAACTTGCAAAATCAAACGGTTTCTTTTCTATTCAATCAACTCTGAATTTTACAACGAAAATAGAAGGGTATTTAAAGGAAAATAAACCTAATACAAACCTAATGTACCTAGGAAAAATTAAGGTAAAAAAGAACTCTAAAAAGGACACAAATTTCTGGTTTAAACTCCCTTTCTTGAAGCACAAGTAAGCTGCCCGCAAAATAGTCAAAAGGCAGCTTTCGTACTAACTTCACGCCTTTCGTTCGAGGCCTTCCCAAACTCCAATTCTTCATCCAATTCCTTCCCTTTGTTCACAAACATACCTAGTTTCACGTTGTGGAAGCCTTTTGACTTGAATCCCATCCATGCTCCTTGAATTGAGCTCCAAAGTAGGCTTCACATAACAGTTTTCTGCCTTAGTCATTTTCTGGCAGTTTTCCAGTTTTGAGGTAGCAACTTTGAGGCCTTGGAAAACAACCTTAATGACATCATCTGGATCCATAAATCATATCATTGGAAAGATGGAAAATTTATCTACAAAACAAACCCTTAACCTCAATGCTGTCAAAACCGAACCGGAGTTTGACCCGGTAATGGGAACGGCTCGCACTTTACTGGTCTAACCGCTATTAGACCGTTAAAAAACCGTTAGAGAACCGGTACCTTATAAATGATAATATCATAAATAGATGATATATAAAATAGTAATTTAATGGCTAAAATGAAATTTAGCCTTCATATACCAATTAGTAATTTTACATTTTAATATATTTACCCACAAAACCCTACCCCATTCCCTGCTACCGCCGCCCCACTCTTCCCCTTTTCCCTTTCCTTCCCCATTCCCTGCTACCGCCGCCCCATTCTTCCCCCTTTCCCTTTCCTTCTTCTTCTTCTTCTTCTTTAATTTCTTCTTATTTTTTCAATTACTCTACTGCGACTCTCCTCCATCACCATATTCGACTCTCCTCCATAGTCCCTATCACTCTGTTGGAGACCAAGCAACGGCGGAGCTGCTCTGCGGTACTGCCTTTACTCGCGGCCAGAACAGGGGAGGGGAAGCAATCAACGGACGGATGGACAAGGAGAAGCTATCGTGGCTTCATCGACATCGGGCGTCCGGCGTCGCTGGGAAGAGCTGCTGCGGTGCTGCTTCGCGTCTTCAACAGTTCAACCCTACATTTTTCATTTTTTTAATAGCAGACGGACGGTTCATGTGTTAAAAATCGGTCGGGTGGTTCGAGCGGTTCGAACGATTAACCTCTCCGACCGGTCAAAAACCGACCTTCCCAGCCGCTGCGGTTAATTGAGTGTACCGAGCCGGGCTGGTGGTCGGGTGGCGGTTTTACCGGTCCGATCGGCCGGCTCGGCTCAGTTTTGACAGCACTGCTTAACCTTGAATTTCCACCAATCCAATTGAGAGAACCATGCCTCCAAAGTATGTACCCTGAACACGGATTTTGACTTATCAAAATTCTGCCTTTCTTCTTCCCAACTTCGATAGCTTCTTTGTCAAGTAATTGTGACGTGAATGGTGGGCAGTTTGGGATCATATCATAGCCTCGAGAGTACTTTTGAGTTTAGTAGCCAACAAAGTATAAGTTAATTCTTTTGTCCATTATACCTTCTTGTACCTTGCAAGTTATTTCCTAAGTTGGACAACCCTAAATGTGCAAGGTCCTTATTGCACATACTGGTTACATTACCTACCTTCTGGATACTCAAATTTAAAGATGTACGTTGGAACCTTTATGGTTTTTATCCAAATGGAGTCTAGTAAGTAGAAATACTCCTCACCATGTCCTTAAGAGTTCAACGAAATCATAACATCCTTAACTCTCTATTTGTTCCTTTACAAAGAATTTGAGGTTCAGTAATTGAGTTCAGTCTTATCTCGTATCTTCCCTCCTCTTCTTTTGTGAGTATTAGTACTCACCTAAAACTTTATGGAGGAAGATAAAATAAACTAAGTGTTGAGTATGTCTTTTGACAACTCCAACTTTAGTCACTTGATTTTAATGCAAAATAAGACACCTCCAAAACATAATACACTTGTACATTTTGCCTTTACACTTTATGGATTAAATTACCCCAATAGGCAGCTTACCCCGGATCCTTTTATGTTTTGGCAAAATACTGTATTATTACTTCAATGAATTTCAGAGTCATCTCAGTATAATAGTCCCATAATTATTCATCGAATAGAGCGTTTAATGATCATCATGCACACTTAATTGGATATATCTCTATTCGATATTATTAAATCTCATTGAGATTTTTCGAAGTAGAATAGGGATTGTTCCACATAAAAGCGCAAGATCAATGCCTATATATCGAGAATAATTGTCTTGAATTTACTTTAAATTCTTTAGATTCATCCCATTTAACAGAAGAGTTAACTTTAATTTCTATAGAAATATTAAAACCAAAGCACGAAAAACTATATTGAGATAAAAGAAAAGACACATCAGGGGGATCATCCTCTTTGATTTCTTCTCCGAGCGTGCAGCAGGGGGATCACCAATGAAAGAGGATAATCCTCAACGCCCGAACTACAAGGCTGGCCTGGCTGGTGCTGGCGGCGATACATCGCCCAAGCGGAGTGCCTGGACATTTGTGGGCTCTCATGATATAGAAGCTGGATCTTTCAATGGAGAACCGGAGCTGAAGATCTTCCCTGATTTCAAAGAGAGATTATGCATTCCGTGGAAGAAGACGCTAGTTCTCCGTCTTTTGGGTCGATCAGTCTTTACACCTATATGTGCTCCCAACTTAGGTGGAAATGGAGACCACCGGGCAATCTGGATATCATGGATCTAAATAACCAGACTTTCTTGGTGACGTTTAATAATGATCAGGACTATCTTCATGCGCTAACAGAAGGTCCGTGGACAATCCTAGATCATTATCTCCTTGTTCACATATGGTCTCCAAGTTTCAGAACATCTGATCAACCTTTCAAATCGGTGGTAGCATGGGTTCAATTTGCTGAACTCCCTGTCCATTTCTACCATCGGGAAGTGTTGTTTGCCCTGGAGAACTTAATCGGAAGGACCATCAAGCTATATTACCATACTGAACACCTGGAGAGGGGAAAATTTGCTCGGCTATCTGTTGAATTGGATATGACGAAGCCCCTCGCCACCAGAATTCGGCTGGATGGAGCTTGGCAGTACTAACGAGAACTTGCCCCAAATCTGTTTTGAATGCGGCAGAATTGGGCACAATGAGGACCGTTGCTCGAAGAAACTGGGCGCAAGCTCCGCGTTGACGGTAGCGGTGGAGACGAACTCTGAAGCACGATCATCAGAACAGCCATCGGAGCCTCCGGCCGGCTACGGGTCGTGGATACAAGTGACACAAAAATCGCGAAAACCGAATAGGAAACCCATGAGCAATCAAACCCAAACGGTAACCAATCCGCAAGGAAAAGGGGGAAATTCTGAGAAGATCATGGCGAAAATCACTCATTTAGGGAAAGATGCTCAGGCAACAGGGAATAGGGGAGGAAAAGGAAAGGGCACTGAAACAGGGCATAAGAAGGAAGGGGATGGAAAACAAAAAGGGAAAGTGAATGGTTGTGTCGTGGAAGGGGCCAAGGGAGGAACAAGCCAAATAGAGTTTCATGAATGGAGGCCAAGTCAGTTTTGGTGCCGTCAAGTCGAAAGGGTCGGAGAAGAAAGAGTCGACTAATAAGGGGCAAGAGGTAACGAACTCACCTGTCATGGGCCAAAAAAGAGATATGGACCTGCAAATAGGAAACCCGGTGGATATGGCCCAATCTTCTCTCTCTGTCAAACATCGGCATCACAAGAACAATTCCGGCCACCATAGTGCGAGCGGCGTCAAGAATCGTGTCAATCTCAAAGTTGGGGTAAAGAAAACGAGTAAAGCCAATCCTAAATCTAAACGTGATCTCAAGCAAAGAGTGACGGCTAACTCTTTCCCCATCACTCAGTAGGCGATTGAGGATTTCTTGGCACAATCCCAACAGAAGGAGGTAGAGTTCTTGGCAATCTCGAACAGAGCGCGGGAAGATGTACCAATGAGGGAGGAACGGATTTATTCCCAAGATATTTCGGTAGACCAAGGTAATAGCGAGTTACCCTCAGCTATTGCAGCAAGATGATATTCGAGGATAGCCTTGTGGTGCCATGCGGCTACTCTTCAGTGCTGGTCTTGTGTACGAGCTGGGTTCTTACCCTTTTATTTATCTATTTTTCTATGGTTAAGCTTCTTTAATGGAATTGTAGGGGTGCTCGGCACCCAAATTTGAAGTCTGCCTTTCTAGATTATAAGTTGGCCAATAGACCGGATATGGTGATCATCATTGAGCCGCGAATTAGTGGCAAAGATGCTGATGAAGTTATAGGCCAGCTGGGTTTTGATTCGCAGGCTATCTCTGATGCTGAGGGTTTCTCAAGGGGAATTTGGGTGTTGTGGCAGAGAGGATGCATCAATCTGGAGGAGAAAATTATACATAGGCAATTTGTCCATTTATGCTAGAAAGAAGAAGGCTCTACAAAGGGTTTCATCGCGGCAGTCTACGGTAGTCCAAATGAGGTTGAACGCCAGCGAGTTTGGAAGGATCTGATTCGACTGGGGCGGACAATCCATGAGCCCTGGCTGATCCTGGGTGATTTCAACTCAATTGCTCACCCATCGGAGAAATAGGGCGGTGCGGGGTTTAACCCAGTGACGACTAGAGACTTCAACGAGTTTATCTCATCTTGCAGCCTCATCGATGTGGGATTCGTGGGACCAAAGTTTACTAGGTTTACAACGAGGATGGCGTTAAAAGAGAGACTTGATAGTGCTCTATGCAATACAGCGTGGATGCAAGCCTTCCCGGAGACAACTAATCACCACCTGCATCGTTTAAGATCAGACCATAGACCAATCTTGGTGGATGTCAAATCAGGGTGCCCGTTGCCAAATCAGGTACGTCCTTTTCGCTTTCTTGCTCCTTGGATTTCCCATGATGACTTCCCAAATGTGCTTGATCGAGGCTGGAGGCCGCAAGAGGGGTATCTTGTGTCTATGCAGGGGCTAACCGAGAAGCTGAAAGTTTGGAACAAAGAGGTCTTTGGCAACATCTTCCAGAGAAAGAAGGAACTACGGTCTCGCCTTTCTAAGCTAGAGATGATTAATTACCAGCAACCTTCGGATATAACTATTCAGGAGGAAAACGAAGTCCGCAATCTGATGGAAGAGACTTTGTGGGAAGAGGAGGTCCTTTGGATTCAGAAGTCAAGAACAAAGCGGACTGTTTTTGGGGACCAAAATTATCGCTATTTTCACCTCTCCACACTATCCAGACGTCAAAAGAATAGGATTAAATGTCTCAAAGATGCAGCGGGGCAGTGGATTTCAGATCCTACTCAGTTACAAACTCTTGCACGCGGCTTCTATGTGGACCTCTACACGGAGGAAATGCATGACCATGATTGCATTAAGGGAGACTTTCCGGAGCTAGAGCTACAAGAGATGGAGATGCTGATTAAGGAGTTGACAGAGGAGGAGTTGATGCGAGCAGTGAAAGACATGGCAGGGCTGAAGTCCCCGGGAAAGAACGGCTATCATGCAGTGTTCTTCTAGAAATGCTGGCTTAAGATAGGGAAGGATTTTCTATCTTTTGCACTTTCATGTTTCATAATCCGGCTAATTTTTAGTATATCAATGATACTCTTATTGCCTTGATTCCGAAAGTGGCACATCCTGAAACTATTAGCCAATTTAGACCTATTAGCCTCTGTAATGTGGATTATAGAGCTATAGCTAAATGCTTAGCTAATAGACTGAAAGGATTTATGCATAAGCTGGTCCATCCTTCTCAAACTAGCTTCGTTCCTGTTTGTCACATAATCAGTAACATAATTATTTTGCAGGAGATAGTTCACTCTATGGAGCAGAAGAAAGGGGTCAAGGGGCACATGATACTCAAAGTGGATTTAGCTAAGGCATATGATCGTGTATGTTGGCATTTCATTGAAGACACCCTCCAAGAGGCTGGGCTTCCTCAGGATTTTTTTCGTATCGTCATGGGATGTGTGACTACGACCTCGATGCAAATCTTGTGGGATGGAGCCTATACGACCAAATTTGTTCCTTCCCGCAGTTAAAGATAGGGATGTTCGCTCTCCCCTTACCTTTTTACTCTTTGCATAGAACGACTTAGTCATATTATTATGAGAAAAGTTAGAGAAGGTAGGTGGAAGGCTTTCAAAATTTCTAAGGAAGGTCTTGAGCTTTCTCACCTCTTTTTTGCAGACGATCTTATTCTGTTTGGGGAGGCAATAAAAATTCAAGGGCAAATTATGACAGAGGCACTATCAACCTTTTGTAAAGCATCCGGAGAGCTAGTGAGTCGTGAGAAATCCAAACTCTTTTTTTCGCCCAATATGAACAGAAGTGTGACAGCTGAAATTGTGAGTGAAATGGGCATTCAAGCTACCACGAACCTTGGCAATTACTTAGGAGTCCATGTACTCCATGGCAGAGTAACTAGGGAGACCTACAAGCTGGTGATTGAGAAGATTGAGAAGAAGCTCTCTAGCTGGAAGATGAAGAACCTATCACTGGCTGGGAGAGTCAATCTTGCTCTCTCGGTCCTAAATGATATGCCAACCTATGTGATGCAGACTGCAAAGCTACCTGTTCGGTGTGTGAGACCATTGATAGGATAATTCGGAACTTTGTGTGGGGAGCAAGGGATGGAAAGCAAAAGGCTCATCTGATATCATGGGAGCACATTTGCAAGCCTAAGAACCTAGGTGGGCTTGGGCTCCGTTCGGCTCGGGACCTGAACAAAACATACCTAATGAAGCTAGCTTGGTCCTTTCTCAATTCTCCTGAGGAGCTGTTCAAGTTATGCAGCATAAATATTTCAAAATTAAAGATGGGAGTATGCAGCAGCTGAAAGGGAAGAGGCAATCACACCTATGGCGCGCTATGCAAGAGGTTTGGCCACTTCTAATGCAGGGGACAACTTGGAGCCTGAGGAGTGGTCAGGACACGAGTTTTTGGGGAGATATATGGCTGGATAGTGGGGTGGCCCTCAAGGACCTCCTCCCCCACGAAGCGGATCAGCCTGATGAAAGCATCCTTGTGGCAGGAATGGTTGATGAGGATGGCAGGTGGGATTGGAACAAGTTCGAGCACATGCTGTCTCACGAAATGTGGATACAAATTGCAGGTACTGTGCCACCTTGTAGGGAGAGTGGAGAAGACCGTACTATATGGGCCTTGGAGGAAGATGGGTGTTTTCGGCTACGGTCAGCATATGCGCTTGCAGCAGGCTTTGCGGATGAGGAGGAACAACGCTGCTGGAAGGTGATATGGAAATGGGATGGACCCAGTCGAGTCAGACACTTCCTTTGGCTTGCGTATCAGAGCAAGCTAATGACGAATGAGGAGCGAAAGAGGAGAAAGCTCACTACGAATAGTGGATGCGTAAGATGTCCATTAATTGATGAGGACATTTTACATGTGCTAAGGGATTGTGAAATGGCTACTGTGGCATGGAAGGAGCTAATTCCAAGAGAGAAACACCAGAACTTCTTCTCGATGCCATTACAAGGATGGATGGAGGAAAATCTAAGGGATGTTAACTAATCTCTTGTTTTTGGGTTGGGCTGTTGGATTATATGGAAGTGTCGTAATGAGCTTGTTTTTGCAGGGAAGCAAACCTCAGGGGCAGCTCTAGTGGCTCGTATTCGCTGCTGGACCGAGACGGTGGCAAGGGAGCTAAAGAGTGACGAGCGGATCAACCTTCGACGGGAAACTATGAGGAAGGAAGTGATGGTGAGCTGGCGACCGGCAGCGGAAAGATGGATCACCATCAATACAGATGGTTCGATGCATAACCCGGGATCAATGGCGACAGCAGGGGGTATTGTGAGGGACTAGTGTGGCCGGAAACTGGGGAGTTTTATGTCGAATTATGGCCAGTGTACGATCATGATGGCCGAGCTTAGAGGAGCACTAGAGGGACTGATCTTAGCGCGTCGGTTGAAAGCCCCCAGAGTTGAGCTCCAGATGGATTCTTTGGCAGCGGTACAATTCTTACAGAATCGGGTCGAGGGAGGGCACAGGCATGCCTCTATTATCCGTCAGATACAAAATCTGATGGACACTTTTGGTGAGGTCAAGATTACTCACATTTACAGAGAACAGAACCGTGTAGCTGATTTTCTTGCTAATAAGGGACATTCAATCCCTGTAGGAAGCTCTCAGTACGATCATATGGAGCCGCTTTTGTATTTCTGGTTAAACTATGATGTTCTCGGGATCCAAGAAGTCCGAGTAGTTAATGTAATGGGTTAGGGCGCCCCTAGCGCCCGTTTTTCACAAAAAAAATTAAACAAGACAATAAAATTATTCAATTTCGGGGACCCATCATAAGATACCAAATGCAACATTAATTCTCAGTCTTTGGACAGAGAAATTAACTGCGAGCAGTACACTTAATACAATGATCAAATGCTGATAATAAGTTCTGTCAAACAACAGTCTATCTTTCGACCGACTGTTATTCACATGAATAATAACTTTATAATCATCACGTATTTACCATTAAGGTGCTTGATTATTTGGTCAGATAGTGTCGTCCTTTGGGTCGAGCACTACACACATAAATAATCTTACACGTACATCCATGTATTCTAAGTTAAATAATTTTTTTCAAGTAGAGGTTACTTTGGCAACATACTGCTAAAATTAAGTTAATTAAACTATTCGACAATTCTCTCATAATCACAAAATTATGAATAAGTGATTAGTTACCCTTAATAGAGAATTACAATAATTGTAATTTTAAATAAATGTTTACTCCATCTTAAGACACCATGCACTCCATTAATATTCTATCTTTGGATAAAATATTAACTTGTAAGTGATGTCTTATGACACAATAATTAAATATTGATGACAAGACCACGTGAAATACTAAATCTGCCTTTGGGCCGATTTATAATTCACATGTAAACCGAATAATCATCACACATTTATTACTACATGAGCATATATGAAACCTTAAATATTCACCTACCTTTGGGCCAGTGAATACATACTTAATTTACACGCGCTATATAAACCTTTACCATATAGGGATTTTAAATTGTCAAACCGAGCCCCAAATATTGATTTACTAAAATGAGGCCTACATTCCTCATAAACTATTATTGTTTACTAAACAAATTACGAGGCATGAAATGCACAAAGTAACTGCAAAGTGCATTTTAATGATCTAACGACCATCACACAGCGAAGAACGCAAATAAATCAGAACTCTATGGCTAGTTATAAAATCCTAGCCAATTTATTATTAAGGTGTATGATTATTTGGCCAAATAGTGTCTATCTTTGGAGGAAACACTATCCGCATAAATAACCACACACTATCAACAAGTAACAGCAAATTAAAACTATAATTACTGATGAAACATAAGAATTACTTATAACCCAAATCAAAGACCGGCATGTCCCGTAACAGAACATATGATATAATAAATTATTATCAAACTCATCATCTAGGTAACTGTTCAAGTAATAATACATGAATCAAAAACCACTATTCTAATACAGACATCAATGAAATTAAAAAAAAATCATTAAAAGGTTAACTTCCCATATGTAATCGATGCCCTTCATAAAATTTGGAAGACCAAAACATAATTAAACTAGATAGTCGGAAAAAAAAAACAAATCTTAATGGTTATTATTTCGGTGAAACTCTCAAAGAGCTGGTTTCACTTGTAAGGCCTAGGTTCAGGTCCTTAAATCCTCTTTTTAAGGAGGATCCTAAAGCGTTGTGATTGGCGGATTCAATTTTAGATAGTTAGTGGAGAGTTATTAGTTAAATAGTTGTTAGGGTTAATAAGGGAATCACAATTAAATTAAAAACCGTAATCCTACTGATGTATATATCCATGTCTCTTTCTTTTCCCTCCCGCAAGCGTCCGAACCTTCCCTCCCGCTGTCTTTTTCTTTTTCCTCTCGCAAGCAGGCGAACCGTCCCTCCCGATGAGTTCTCTCTCCGTCCGTCCCTCCCGCTGAGTTCTCCGACCGGCGATCCTCCGGAAGCGTTCTCCGCCGAGGGAAGCTAGCTCCAGCTGCAGTCGTCGTTCAAGTCCACCAGCGCCAAACCAAACTTCTGTTGTCGTCGTCGGTCCAGCTTCCCCCGCTGAGATCTCCGGCCGGTGGTTCTGCTCCCGTAAGTGTTCTCCACCGTCGCCGTCGCTATCAGTTAATAATAGTTTGAAGGCCATTATCAATTGATAATGATAGTAGTGTAACTCACAGGTATGCATTAATAATATATATACACCCGTTAGTAATAGTTTGAAGGCCAATATCAATATGTTTATATATCTCCATTATTAGCGTACATGCATTCTTTATCAATAATATCAGCTTCGTTATCAATTTTACTAATCTCATTATCAATTATTTCTTGTACTTTTCTTATCCCGCATTACAAAGATTGTTAAAACTAATAATGTGTGCTTAGGGTTTTTCACTAATACAGTTTATGATCAATTTACGTAGCCATGATTTGTAATCTTTTGAAGGGCTATGGTCAATATTTTTACCCACCCAATAATCAATGTTTTTTCGTATTGTCAATGTTGTCTGATAGGCCTGTTAATTATGTTATGTTGTGATATTAACTTTTTTATTGTCGTTTTGTAAATGTTTTATCAATTTATTTGTAATCAGCATTAATTCACTAATATAGTTTATTATCAATTTAGTTCATAGTGATTTCTAATATTTTGAAGTGCTGTGATCAATCGTGCATGATTTGATAATGTCTCGTCTTATTATTAAGCGTGTGTTATTATTAATCTCTCTGCTGAATTTACGTGTAATATTATCAATCTTAGTTTATTATTAACTTTTCTTCGTCCATTAGTAATATTTTCAAAGTCATGTTCAAGTTTTTACTAGTATTAATATGCCGGTTGAATTAAGGAGCAGTATTAACAATCTTTCTTCATTATTAACGTTTTTTCAGCATTATTAATATTTTGAACGTAATTATAAAAAAAATTGTTGTGCTACACGATATATCACAATCCAAGATCTTTAAGAACAAACTTATTGTCGGCCCGCTACGTCCGTCGCTTGCCATAAAAAAGAAACGCAACGGAGTTGTCAACGTAGAGGAGCATGTGGATTGCGCAGCTGGTTGATTGAGGTTTTCAAAGCAATGTAACGGATTTGTCAACATTTTCAACCGTACATATTAATGATTTGGTATACGTTATTAACATTTTGTACTGACGCTACTAGGGGGCCGTTTGGAAGTTGCGATTGTTTTGTTGAGATTGTCATTATGCATGTATTGTTTACAATGCATCGTTTTTTTGTTTTTTTTAGCAGAAACAATACATGGATTGTTTCTATGATGTGACAGAAAATATCATTCATTTTGAGTGATTGTTATATCTCAACTTTTAGTTGTGATTGTTGAGATAGTTGAGTTGAGATTGTTTTGTCTCAACTTTTAGCTTATGCGACATACACAATCACACATACTGACACGCCAAAACACAACACCAATCTGTGACCAAGTGTAATTGCAGACCGGGAATGCAGTAACAGGCAAGTTATATTATCAACCCGGGGTCTAGGTCTACTGCTTACTCAGTGATTCTCTATTATCTAGCCAACTAAAGTAAGTGATTGTTGTTTAAAAACAAAAGCAGAAAGAAAGCAGGAAATTATTCGGTTTTCTCAAGCAGGTAAGAGTCACTCGGGAATGAGTCCCCCTAGCTCCTTAGTTAGGTTTCAATTGTATTTCCCTGGGTTGATTTACTGTTGATTAGACTGCGGAAGATCTGACAGTAGCTTGGAATCTCTTAAGCTGACCAAGCCCTCTTAGTCTAACTACCCGGCAGACGACTAGTCTTCACCGGGATAGAAAGCTGAAGCAGTAAGAACAGAACTCCACTACTGGAATTGGATTCCAGTACAAAGCAGTAAACTGTCTAACTCTCGTATAGCCAATCTCCTACTACCGAATGATGAGACTCTAGCAACCTAATAAGATTCTATCTATCTCAGATTGCAGCAGGAATCAGGAAAAGTTGATCAGACTTCAATTGACTCAATAAACATGCATCATGCGATTAAAATCAAACAGTAATATCATCCCAAGTCATTACAATCAATCCCTACACATAGAACTAGGGTTCTTCATCCCCAAGTGAGAGAGGGGTTCTACTCCATAGAGAGAGAGAAGAAAAGAGTAATCGGAGTAGTCATACTCATAAAGATGAGGAAAATCTGCTCCGGGATGATGATTTCCACTCCTAGGACGATCTCCAAGCTCGATTCGATGAAACCCAGCTCCAAATAGCTTCTAGGATGTGTTCTTCGTACTTTCTCTCTCTAGGGCTCTGTTTTTTCTCAAAAAGTCCGATCCCCCCTTGTGGCTCGAAATTGGCTGAAAAACCAAGATTTCCCGACTCGCACGGGCAGGCCACACGGCCGTGTGGCTCACCCAGTTTCCCGTGCGAGTCAAAACGCTGCGTTCCAATTAGTTCGATCTTGGGCTTCCCACACGGCCAGGGTCGCACGGCTGTGCGGGATTTCCATCCTGCCCGTGCATGCTCTCGACAAAAACCACACGGCCACAAATGTGAGTTGCACGGCCGTGTGATGTCCAGGAATGCCCGTGCAGCTTTCTTAGCACCTCGCCACGCGTCCGATTCTCGTTCAATCGACCCCAAACTCGCTCCCAAGCCTCCATTCACGTACTAGGACCTGAAATATGACAAACAAGCACAACCTAGCGTGAAATCGGCCTAAAACACGAGAATCAACACCTCAAACGGTGTAAGAACAGGGGTAAAAACATGTGTAATTAACGGTCTTTCAAACTCCCCCACACTTAACCGTTTGCTTGTCCCCAAGCAAACCAAGTCAGATACAAGGTAAGCTTACATATCTCAATCAACCAACATTGGGGACAAGTCATAAAGGCACAGAACACGTGAATCGTACTGGTTTTCAAACATCAATACATGACCAACTTCAACAGCAACCTGGACAACCACCACAAAGGACATTCGAGTGCAGCAAAATCGAGTAAAGGAAGAGTCTCCCTTCTGTTCACCAACCAACCTAGACTTGACTCAACCACTTACTCAAAAAAGTCAACTCATGCATCCAACTCAAGACATCAGAATAGAGACCGAGCAATCTAGGTCCTCACCGGGGTACAAGAGTATATAGAATATGAAAATGAATCACTCACTCTCGACCAGTGGGGTCAGGACAATTTGATGCGAAAAATGCGCATGTTATTTCTCTCAATCCCTAACATCTCTTCACCATGATGGCAGCCTCTAAATGCTAGAGTTCACATATGGGGTGTCACCA